CCCGAACGAAACCCTAAGTTCTCCCACTGCCTTGTGGGTCAGCCCTTTGAGTCAAAGTCTCAAGGTAATGTACCCAAACCAAACCCTCTTCCTCGGCCTGGGCAACCGAGAATTATCATTTGCTTGCGCAGTTCGGCGTCCACTGATGTCCCTTTCCAACCCCTTTCCACCACACAAACAAACGTTGCTGTGTCTTTGACTGTCAATCATCTGACCGAAGGGCCTATGTTCCTCGCTGCCTACTATCAATAAACAGAATAGCATCCTTCGAAATCAACAGACTATTTTCTATTAAGGAGCTTTTAACATCCATACTATGTGTCAAATTGGCGAACGGGCAATGTTTTGTCTCCGAAACACGCATACAAGACCCGGTGGCCAGGATGATCTCAGTTCTTTCACATTATTCCCTCCGTGTATCCGGTGACCCAGAAGCGATGACTCGTGGAATATATGGCGTGGGAGTTGCACTCAGTCCCAGAGCTGAACGCGCTTTGCTGGACTGGAACAGTCGTCTTTACGCCGTCCGGTTATACAGTTCAATCAATCTTAATGCCTTGGGGCATGAAAAGCAGTGCCTGTTTGTAGTGTCGGTTTATGCTTCAGCGGACTGCAGTTCGGATGCTGAGGAGGATACTTCCTGATACTATCGACTGGCCCTAGGAAAGCAATGGTGAGCGAAACGATAAGTGAAAAAGGTGGTTCATTAATTCATTCGCAATAAAGTCGGCTGGAAATATTGGCCGGACACTTCGAAGAACAGTTCAGCTAGCCTTCTGCAACAGCCTGTGGGGATAATGCATATGAACAAATAGAATGTAAGTCTTGATCGCCCGTCGGAAGAAAAAATGAGGTACGAAATAGCCCTCTTGAAAGAAGGCGGAAAATCCATGACGACCCATCTGACAAAGCTTATTGGTGCTATATGGAACAAAGAGAAGGTGCCTGCATAATGGGGCATGTCGACAGTTATCCCTATCTTCAAAAAGGGTACGTGGACGCTGTGTAAAAACCAGTGGCATCAGCCTGTTAGCTGTGGCACCGAATGTGCCCCCTGGCCTTATCCTTCGAAGGTTGACTGAACATGGAGAGTGGCAGATCCGTGAAAACCAAGCTAAGTTCCGTTCTGCAAGAGGTTGCATCGATCATATATTCACAACACTGGTTGTGTTTCTTGATCTGAAAGCTGCCTTTGGCTCTGTGGACCGCCAGGCACTATGGCAGTGCAGAGGTGTCTCCCATAAATTCTTGACCCTCCTTAAGGTGCTGTACGCCAACTCCCGTGGCCGTGTGAAGGTCTACGGGAAGCTGTCGCCTGAGTCCATCACATCAAGTGGTGTCCGACAGGGCTGTCCTCTTTCACCTTTCCTCTTCAACTTCGTCATTGACGCGACAATGGAAGACTCACTACCAGCCTCTAATGCCTGTGGGGTCATAGTGCTCCCGAGGCGTCCACTCACAGATGTCGAGTACGCAGACGACAGCTCTTCTTGGATCTAACCCCACAATCTTATCCACACAATATTAAGTAATCTAAATAATTCTGCCTTATCCACACATAAGTAATCTAAATAATTCTGCCTCACGGTTCGACATGCGCTTCACACCTGCTAAGTGTAAAGTGCTACTACAAGACTGGCTGGGCTCGAACCGCAGCCTCATGCTTGCGGATGAACCAACTGAGGTTGTAGACAAATTTGTTTAGCTGAACAGCTGAATCAGTCCCGGTGGTCTCGCGAAAGATTATACTTCCAACCGGAGTGGGAAGGCCAGAGCAGCTTTTGTGAACCTACATTACCTGTGACATCAGTTTCTCAGTTAAGGGTCGAGTTTATAATGCTCCGGTGCGCTCCCTACTACTGTATGGATCAGAAACCCGGCCGCTGTGCGCCGAGGACGTCAGTGTTTGTCCATCGATGCCTTCGGAGCATTCGCCGAATCTAGTGGGATCAGTAATGCTGAAGCACGTCGAATGGTATTCGGGAGAAATAACTTACCCTCAATTGATGAACTGATCACACTGCATAGTTTGCGCTGGCTTGACCACTTGCTTCGTATGCCAGTCGATCGACTTCCTCGAAGGGTTCTTTTCGCACAACCACGTGAAAGTTGCAAGAAAACCAGAGGCGGTCAAACAATGACTTGGCAGCGAAGTATGAAAGCCATTACCAGCAAACTCAGCTGCGCTGGTCATTGCCGTCTTCCTGCATGGGGACCCCGGTGTGGATCACACCAATGGTTAGACACATTGTTAGCTTCGCGGCAGCCGAAAGAGCCTAGTTCAATATGTTGACTTCTACCATTATCAATCAGCTCCTAATTTACTATTGCAGTTACGGAGCGAGACAGTTAAATGTGACTACGTTACCCAGTTGGATGACCAACTAAGTGCATGATGGACCCATTGCTCGTATTAAGCTCCCCAAACTACAGCAGAAGCTGCTGCTCTGTCCAGATAAAAAATTTCAAACTATTCGGAAAATCTTGGACCTGTATGAAGATGTAAAGCGTATAACGAAGTCTTTTGACGCAGTGTTGTTGAATCACCCTGAAAGAAATAACTCAAAGATCGAATAGACAACAAATTCAAAATTCGAACATATTTTCGTGCTCCAACTTCGTCAACATGTCGCTTCACAGATCATAATTCTAATTCAGCGGTTCCAAAAATTGGGAAATGTGAATATTGTGGACAAAATCATTCCAGATATTCATGCACTTACAGACAATTAGTGTTTTATCTGCTAGAACACAGGGCATATTCAACCCGTCTGTAAGTCCAAAAAAGTGTCACTTAGCTTCTGACCCAAATACTGATATGAAAGCACTGGCTGAAGACATACCTACCCTTTAATTATCTATTTCGCCCCAAAATTCGTCACGTTTTTAGGAATTTGATGTCCGGTTCTAATCAGAAACGTTTTATTGTTGACACTGGTAGTGTTGAGTTCATTATTCCACAGTCAGATGTAACTGCATTCGACCACCGTGTGGTGCTAGCGCCTACAGATGTTGCTATCCGTGGTATCACTAAACATTCCGTACCTCACATCAATGGTTTGAAACATTGTCAGACATGGACCAGTCGCGCCCTCAACGGCGCTCATGCATCCAAGCTATTATCTTCAATGTATGGCTCTCTTCCCGATCCCCCCATCTAACAGTCCACTGACAGTGCTGTATTTACGCACCAAATTATCGGCTCCCGCCTCCAACGCGGAGCTACCTTCTCCTAGTCTCCAAATCATCAGTGGATGAGACTGCGGCAGCTACAGCCACCGTACGACAGGTACGCGGTTATTATAGCTGACAATGATGATGGATGATGATAAAGCACCGTCGGGTGGTGCAGCCGGTGACATAAGTCAGGCGACTTTATTGACCAGTCACGTTAGTTGTGGCAATGCGCTGTCCTGCCAGTTTCTCTGCCCCTGACCTAGGGCTGTTACCTTGTCTTGGTAATTGGGCTGCCGAGCTGCAATGGTCATGTGGACTATACTGACTGCAGCCTAGCTTCTGACAAGGATCTGCGAGTCCCCGTACTTCGAGGAATCTTATTACTGGGCGGTCTGGGGATAAAGGACTATGCTGTAGGACTATGAAGGCATTAAGATGTTTCCTTCAGGTGCCTAGCATGTTCATATTTATGGAAGAAGCGACGCTGGAAGAGTGCGTTGGAGATGATCCAAAAATTCGCGCCCACCCATTGCGTAGTGGCTGATTGTGGCTGTGGACGCATTATTCGGTACCGTCGAAATACCATTAAAACCACTGTGTGGTAATGCGCAGAAGGTATCTGCTTAGTTCAAGCTTATTAGGAGTCAGTCTCTCGGGTATGCCAACCCTGTGTGCCCTGTGACTTTTCCCTCAGGCCAGACCAGCTTCCTGCAACTAAGTGGGTCGGACTATTGGGTCAGTCGCTTCGGGTGGGGACCCCAACAAAAACGTATGAACCGGTGCCTTGCAGTCCAGACTTTTGAGTCAGAAGCTAGAAGGGGTCCGCGAACAAAACCCTACATCCTCCCACTACCTCGTTCGTTCAGCTTTAACACCCTTCCAGTGCCTAGCTGCCATGCTACCCGACGGAAGCACGATGGCTGGGATACTGCCAGGTTGCCCAAGCCTAGACAGGGGAAGTCGAGAGGCAGAGGTTGGGTTCGAACCACGGACCTTCCGGTCAATAAATTCACGCCCTAACCACTTGAGCCATCTCGCCTCCCATTACCTAGTAGGTCAGAATTTTAAGTGAAAGGCCTAGAGTGTGGTAACTCAACGAAATTCCCTTTTTCGGCCTGGGCAACCCTATAGGTCTTCGTTCATTGACTCCTCCTCACACGTCCGTCACCCAAGTCCATCTGACTCATTTAACTGTCAATCACCTAAACGTTGCACTGTATCTGGGCTTCTGCCTGGCGAAATGAATAAAAATAAATCCTAATAAATTCAAGAGATCTGCTCCACATTCAAAAAGGGTGCAAGGGTATCTTGGGAAAACCACCAGGGCTTCAGACGAGTTGCTCTAGCTTCCAAAGCGCTCTCTGACATTGTTCTACACAGGTTGATCCACCATCGGGAGAATCAGACTCACGAGAATCAAGCTGGGTACATCCCTCTCCAGAGTTGCATTGGGGTAAGTGTTGGAATTTCGTCATTCCTTCCGACGACTAGCACTGGTCGTACTTTTCGACCTTAGATCCGTTTTGACTCCATTAGTCGTCGGAACTGTGACAGTGTCTGGCGATGAAGGGTACGGCTGCATGGTTCACCGATGTGCTACACCAAGCGTTAGAGACCAATCCACTGACACACCCGTCCGAAATCCTGAGCACCACTTTGTCTTAACTTTTTCAACGAATGAGTGAATGTTGTAATGTGGTGGGCAGGGCGTGAAAGCACGTGTACAACAATGAATAAGTTGGGCTTTTGTGGCCGGTACGGATCTTGCCGCAAATGGTCAAAAAAGTTCAGCTGCAATGCCTGACACCTTTCCATTATGGTTACCCACAATGACGTAACTAAGCACGTCTACATCAAGCCCGTTTTTTCTTTGAAGAACTCGCATCCGACCGTTGTCGATTACCAAACTATACTAATCAATGGGAGACATGCTTTTGGAGTCAACTTATGTTGAATTTGCCGAACCTCAAATGCCTGGAAAATCTTACCCAGTGGACGATAGTGTCAGTGCTTATTACCAGAAGCTGGCAGCTGAGCATGACTCCGTACGACAGCGACTTCGAGAACGGATTTCACAGCTCAAACGCTTCATGAAGCACGAAAGGGTAATCTCGGACTTGTTTTATATTAATCATAATTTCAGAACAACATGGAGACCGGTTTAACACAATTCTCCAAGTCAGGTTATCTACATTCGATTGATCCTTCTATCGAGTATAAAGTTGCGGCAGCTTTCGCAAAGTAAAGTGTCTCATCGTACATTTTGCATCCATACTTTAGGTTAATGGCTGATATTGAGAGTGAAGCCAAGGATTGGAAGCCAACGGATGATATCAATGCAAACGCAAGTATGTTTTCTCTGGGTCACATATCTCAAAAACTCGAGATAGTCCTTCTCTTAGACGCTATGCTATCGGTTTGTAATTTTGCCCGATGCTGTTCTGAAAGCCTTAATCACGATATTTTAACCTTTTTGGAAGAATCGGTCAATCGCCGTCGGGTTCATACACCCACGAAATAAAAGTCCGCTGGTCGGATGGAACAGTTGGGAAATTCAATTCTAAGTTTGATTTTTGGTCTGGCGAGCCTAGGCGAGTTTTCTCTCCTTTTAAATGTCAACACGTTGCTGAGTTTCGAGTAGCCCACGACGTCCGAGAAAGTTTTTTCTATGTAATCATTGGGGGTTTGACAAATGGTACGCCGCTTTCTCTCTACCTCTATTGGATTGAAAACGAATAATTATCTAGGCGCTCTGTATGTGCGACCACAAGAGGACTAGGTTTTCATACCAAAAATGTCTGTTTGTGCAAAGTGGAGGTTGATAGGGTCTGAGTCTCATTCATAGCGAGTGTCTCGAAATTCAAGTCTCTGAAGTTGGATTCGGTCGTTCTACTTGCGTACTAATCGATTTCGATTTCTTTACACTACGCTGTTATATCTACATAAGATCATGTCTTTCGGAATAGTGAGCAAAATAACGTGATATTCAGTCATGAGGATTTTGATAGCTGGTATCTTTGCAGCTTAAGAAAAGAGTGGACGATTAACAATAGGCGAAGTTGGTTGTTAATCAGGTGGCTGTTGCTCCCTTCGCCGAGCTTGGCAATTGGCTTGCAAGCGTTTCGTTACCATACGAGGAGACGTCATCAGTGCGCAGTTGAGTGAGTACTTCTTCCTTGCCTGCGTGCGTTTATATAGCGTTCGAAGGCTATCTGTTATCTTCTGACGTGATTGACTACTTAAAGTGTAACAAATTTGGTGAATCTATCGGTCCGTTTGTGGTCTTTGTTGCGTTGTGGTCTTCGTTCCTTTGTTTTGATTGGTTATCCTAACACCTATTTTTAGTAGCTTGTCCTCTCCGGCCTTGGTTCGTATTGCGCTGTGGTCTGACGTTCTCGAATTTGATTGGTTGCTTGTGCCGCCCTGTTTCCTCCACCGTAGCGGTTAAAGTCCCTTCGTCCGTCGGTTGATTTAGTGCTTTAATTGGGCGCTTCCTCCAATCTAATTGATGTGTCGGTTTGAACGATGTTTTCCTCCATCTCTTATGAGTTCCTCGTCTGGTTAATTTCGCAGCTCTAAGTCCGGTAGTTCTGGAGTTCTCTCGCGCTTAGTGGCTGGGAAATGGGATCAATTTCGTTATGTTTGTTGATGGCCTCTTCGGTGGAGTACCATGCTACCATAAATTCGCGTTCCTTTTTTGTTCTTGCTTGAACCAGTATGCAAACGCCGCTCCAGTCGGACACGTGTTCTTCGTGATCTTTGTGTGCGGTGATGAGGGAGAATTGATGGTGTCTTTTAGTGGCGGACTTCTGTTCATGTATTCTGGCGGAGAGCTCCCATCCTGTTTGTCCTACATACTGTTTGTCGCAGTCCTTGCATTGGATCCTGTGTATGACATTGTTCTTCGCCATTAGATCTAATTTCCCTACTGGCCTTATAGTGTCCTTCGTGGAGTGTTCGCAGGCTTGTAAGTGACCTCTATATTGTGGTTTCGTAAGAGCCTTGCCGTCATTTCAGCGGTGTTTTTGATGTACGGGAGTGTGACCCGCTTGCTTGCATTTTGTCCTGTTGCATCGGTCGTATTTGGCTTCCTGAGTGTTCTCCAGATGAAATTCCTCGGATATCCATTTTCCTGAAACAATCTGTATAGGCACTTTTCTTCTTTGATCTTTGATTCTGTTGTGCTGCAGTGTTTCTCGATCCGCTTGAAAAGTATCCGAACGCAGCTTTCTTTGTGGCAATTTGGATGGTTGCTGTGGTAGCTGAGGATTTGGTCCGTATGTGTCGCCTTTCTGTAGACCTCAGTTTGTAGGTGTCCGTTCGGCAGTCTAATGACAAGGCGTCCAGGAACGCCAGTTTTTCGTTGTTTTCTTCTTCGGTTGTGAATTTGATGTCGTCGAAGACGTTTAGCAGTTGGATTACTCGTTGCGCTCCGCATCTTTTGATGATCACGAATGTATCGTCCACGTAACGGACCCATATTTTGGGATTTATATCGGGCAACACGATTTGTTCCAATTTTTGCATTGTGACTTCTGCAATGAATCCTGAAATTGGCGATCCCATTGTTGTCCCTCGTAGTTGTTCATAATATTCTCCGTTGAACTCGAAATGTGTGATCAGGCATAAGTCGAGTAATCTGCAGAGGTCTTCTTTCTCCAGTGATCCAGTTGGCGTGCCGTTGTTGTCCAGTAATTCGGCCACAGTTGTCTTGGCCGAATCGAGATCTACAGACGTGAATAGGGAGCTCACATCAAATGAAACCATTGTTTCGTCCTGATCGCTGCTTACGTGTTTTAGTTTCTCCAAAAATTGTCCCGCATTGTTGATTGAATGTTGAGACCCATCGATGAGATGCTTCAACCTTTTCCATAGTTCTTTCGAAAGGTTGTAGGTCGCTGTTCCCGCAAGTGATACAATTGGCCTGGGAGGTATTGATTCTTTGTGTACCTTTGGGAGTCCGTAGAAGCAAGGAGTGGCCGAATCACGAGCTCTCATTCTCCAATATTCTTCCTTTGTAATCTTGTGGAGATCTTGGAGTTGCTTGAAGTTCTTATTGATTTTGCTTGCTAGCTGCTTGCTTTGGTCGCGTTCTAAGCGGCGGTACGTAGTTGTGTCGTTAACTAGTGCCTTTGCTTTATTGATGTAGTTCGGTTTGTCCATGATCACCGTTAGGCGTCCCTTGTCTGCCGGTAGAATCACAATGTTGTAGGCTGGCTAAATACGCCAGGTTTGTCGCGTCTTTGAAGTTGAAATTAAGCCCTTTGACGAGAACATTTTCTTCAGCTTCCGTCAGTTGCCTTTTGGACAGATTCATTATCCAGGCTTCATTGTGATTACTTTCGCACTCCTGGTTCCTAATCAGCCTTGAGAATTTGCTACCTAGATGAGCCTTCTTGTTTTTAGCAGTGGATGAAACTCTTCGTTCTACCGCCATGCTAAGTTGCTCCATGAGATCTGGTCCTGTTGTCCTCAAGCAGGCTTCCCTATGTTCTTTGACTATTCTCTCGTATTTTCCAATGCGGTTGTGAGCGTCTCTGACTATAAGTCTGACCATTCGTCCACCTTTCTGTCTAGCTATTATCCAAGCTTGTGGATGGTCTATTGGCGGTCGGTAGTTTACGCTGCGTGGAAGGATGTGTTTGCGCAGGCATTCATGGAGGAAGTAGGGTTGTTTTCATGTGGAAGCTTGTCGGCAGGCGAAAGTCTCTCATCGACGGGCTGTTTTGAGTGTGGAACGCCCGAATTATTTGGTAATGTGTTGAAATATTGGTAGCTCGGGTGCGTTTATTGGTTGTTGATCAGGTGGCTGTTGATCTGTTCGCTGAGCTTGGCATTTGGTTTGGAAAGGTTGCGTGACCTACCGACCGCAAATAAACTATCCACCTCGGCTGAAACTAAACTGACTGGGTTTTCCAGTTAGCGTGAAAAAATCTCACCAAGTCCTTTGAAAAATGGGTTGTGGACGCCTGTTGGCGGTTGGCACTGTTAATCATCACAAAGTATAGTCGTCACTGCGAAGTCAAGGAATGTGTATTTATACAAGTCGCGAAGTTGAATGAACAAAAATGAGGCGGGTACTGGACCCGGTACTAGCTGACTTTAGTTAATTCGTCTGTAATGTTGATGACGATAACACAGGCATCCAGGTGTCTTCACTTCGAAACGTCTCCTCAGAGCATTTGAATGGACGCCAGAAGTACGGATGCCATTGGTATCAACTGGTGGCCGCATCCTGAAACATTTCCGAACAAGCTCAGGAAGGTTGGCCAAAGTCCGTCCGCATGTTTTGAATTAAAAAGAGTCTTTATGTATTCTNATATATATATATATATATATGGTAAAGTGATTCCAAACATCCTAACGTACCACAAATGGACGTTAAGCAAAAATAGGTAAAATTATAAGCTTTTATACAGGGCAGTGGTCTAGTTTAAGGGACGTTCTAGCGAGCAAAATTTAGTTCGTGGAGCAGTTCGATGAGGTGGGTTTGGTTTTAGTGATTGACTATTGAAGACGGTGGAAAATGCCAGAAAGAACTTTGGATAAAGATGGACAAGTGTGAAGACGCTTGCTCTCTACGAGATCCACCAAACTATTCATTGAGACTCCAATGCACTTGAAAGACGTTTAAATTATCTGACAATAATACAGTTAATCGTCGTCAAGAGGTCTCGTGGAGAGGACAGAGGAACAATAACTCCAGTTGGAGGTAATACAAACACGAACAAGCGTATAAATGTAATTGGGTAAAACAATTCGTCCTCATTCTCATAGATTGAAGAGCTAGACGTTAAACTCTATTGAGTACTTCTCGGTTAAGGGAGACCAACTAAGGTCACAGCCAAATACTTCACAGTAGAAGTTCTAAATAGAGCGACGGTCACTGGGTAGTTCATTGGAACATAGGCCGGAGGTGAAGGAAAACGTAGCTTCTTGCTACTTTGTGATATTGAGGGTAAGAGGTCGGTCGCCGGACTAGCCAACAGTAGCACTGCGGATTCGCTCCAGGCACGTAGTATCTTCAGCCGAGCACTATGCCGCCGGCGTATTTATAACGAAAATCAGAAAAAGGGTGAAATGACACCTTGGGAGGTGACGTTGTCAGATGTCAGTGGGGAGGATACCAGTCACACACTTGTGGGTTATGTGTTGCTTATGAGGTAGTCTTCAGTTAGGTTGACAAGGCTCTGTTTGTCTCCTGCCTCAGTAAAAGTAGTAGTAATTGTACTCCGTCAATGCCATCGAAGGCCTCAGCTTAGTCAATGAACACCAGGCTTACAACACTAGCTTTTGTATTCAGTGCTAAGGTGAACTGGTTATGTTACAGTGTGTATTTCAGAGCGGG